AACCGGTCAACCTGATCCTAGTGTTCACCAACAAAGAACTAATGGTCGACATAAGGATGATGGGGATTCCTTCAAGCCGCAGCGATCTTAAAACGCTGCTATTCCCTTGCGTGTAACACCCAGAATATATTGACGAAAGTATTAAAAGTTTACTTTATAACCGATTATGTTACTCTGTTTGGCCTCATCAGTACAACTAGATAGTAGCTAAAGGACGAATACTGCCTTGAGAGGTATTCTACGGAAAGTCTATCAGTTAGTTCAACGGGCTATGGACAAGACATCAGAAGATAAAATCTGCTGCTCCACTCTTAAGTAACAAGGCTCAAAAATACATTGCCCGAAGGAGTCCGCTTGGCCCCCTCAAATAGTCTCTACGAGCGACGGCACCTGGATGGTCTATAAGAAACCAAAATAACCAGTGCCTCAAACTGGACCATGTGGATGAGTTAATCTACCAAATGGATGACAAGCTAAGCTTCTTCTCTAACTCCAAGCTGCTTTGTATGTATGTGAACAAAATTCGTAAGTGGGAGCGGAATTTCGTCTCTATCCACAGCGTGTCGATTATCGGGAATTGCACACGGGTTGGCCAACGTCTTTGGCCAATGATTCACTTGTACATTCTAAAGTATGCCGCCATCTTGCACCCCTATTAATTAACTCACGTCCCCATCTGCGTGTAACCAAGTATCCTTCACCCTCACGGATGTACTGAAATGCCTGATGTATCTGCAACAGTACAGCTCCCAGCGCCACGACGACATCCACCCAATGACGTTGCATGTGGCTTCCATGGATATAACTGATTCGTTAGCCAAATTCTTTCAACGCTGTCTAAAGTAGATGTAGTTTCTTACTATGTAGAAACACAGTGCTGTCATTCCAATTTACAGTGGTGGTAGCCATGTAGATCCAAGGAATTATTGGCCGATAAGACTACATGCGGTGACCTCTAAAGTCATAGGTCCATTGTCGCTGAGGCGAACATGCAAAGCCTCGAGAACATCAGAAACCTTTCATTGGCACAGCATGGATTCTGCCAGAATGGGCTATGTACCACGAACTTACTGATAGCCCGTTCATGCCCTCTAAAGTCTGCTGTGCTTGCGTAGGTGCACATGCTGTCCCACTGAGTTTTTCACAGAGACCTGACCGTCCGGCTCACTGAAATCCAATTTCCAGACTTTAGCGTTATGGAATCAGTGATCTCCTTCTTGGTGAGATAGGCAACTTTCGCGTTCATCATTGTCTGAATTTGAGGGTTCGTATCACCCTATCCGACTCAATCGAATTCCAGTGTGGCCTTCCCCAACGCTCGGTACTCGGACCACCTCTGTTTTTGGACCAAAATAACAGTTCTGCGAGGCAGCCCCATTCATATTTGCTACTTTTTATGGACATGGAATGCTATTGCTACATTGGTAGATCAATCAGCACTATTTTAGTGCCTTGGGTAGGGGATGCATGCTGCAATCATGCTCGGTCAAGAGCCAAGTTCTGAGCATATGTTATCAAAACAAACGACTACAGAGAGCACGGGGGTTCGGATCAAGAATCACTTGGTTTTTGCAGCAGATGGAAAGTGCACTGATGATGGTATACCAGTACCTTGAACTCTTCCGACGCCTTCGTTCCTTTCCCAAATGTGCGGTTCTTACGTGAGCCTGCATGCAGAATACGTACTTAAATCCTGGTGCTTTGGGCAGAAACACCGTCCCACAGTGCTCGACGCTGCATAGGGAAGGGCAACGAAGGAAGTAGACTGGTTGTCCGACTTCCTCTATCAACATGGGCTGAGAGATATAGTTGTGTACAGTGCACCTTGGAGTGATCGCGAAGACGTCATTATGGTATATCAGCCCCGAAAAGCCCTAATCATTATTATCATCAGTTTCTGAAACGTAGCTACAACATCTCTGAGATCATCCGTTTAAAGTGGCCTCGTAGTTCAGCTGCTTGGAATATCGACGGAGTTGGTTCCCCTCCGAATAACACAGCTCTAAATCTCCCTCCCATCGAACGAAACTAATGCCCCCAAATTAGCACTATTTAGGAGCGTACTCCACAATACACTGCCGCAGGCCGTGCCCATCGAATGACAGCATAAGGGTCACACAAACATCGGAAGGTATCAGACTTCCCTGAAATCCATTCGGAATAAATGTTGTCTAGGCTACTTCTAACTTCCAGGTGACATATACAGAATGTGCGCTATTTTATCGTTACCATGTTTTTATTTTGCAATTTTCCTTGTGGACCAGACAAATACTTGCTTTCTACCCGTTATAGAACGTCGCACTACAATAGTATAAGTAGTTCACTAACGGTAAATTCGGGTGGATGGGAATCAAGTAAACTTCCTCCATATTTTGCTTGATACTCAATGCATACGCGCGCTCTCATGGCGAATGCGATGATCTGTCTAGGCACCATTAGCTAAAGCGTGACTTCGTAGCACCGGAGACCCAAGGATGTCAAGCACTACCGAACTGCACGTGTCTATAGCATCTCCTTTACCAAAGATGGATAAACAAACTATGTCTGGTGGATGCTACCGGTAGACTTTATAATTGGTTGTTACGTAGTAAGTAGTCTCCAGCACGTGTGCCACCACTTTTTGAAGCCCATCTCAAACATAAGCATGAAATGTGCGCAATTAAGATCCGGTCAGCAATATATAGGTCTACTCTGTCGCCGAATTCATCTATCCCTCCTCATCCATTAACCTTTGAACGGTCTTTCTAACTTGTTTGTTTGTGCATGCGACTTAACCTTCTTCAAATATCTTTAGTGCGTCGCACACAACCCCCTAATGCTTGGCGGCATCCGGTTTTGGATTTGCCTGTCACTGTGGCCAGCCATAGGACGTCTGCGCCTACAGAGGGATCATGGGTGGCTTGTGCTGCACCACCCACAGCTCCAACCACATACCCCATATCCAGTGTAAATCCGAAGGAATAAGACCGGGTGACGTGGATAGGAGCCACGTTTCCTCATCGGAGCCGGCCCACACTCCTTCACAGGCAAACACAACACGCTGTATTTGGGAATTAATCGCACACAAAGCGGTGGTTAGACCGTAGTCCTCTCCACACTGAGTGCATGGAACCACTCTTTGAGCCTAGCACGGCCACAAGGACCATGCACCCCGTCCCCTCCAACAAAGACCAACTGTCTCCTAAAACCAATATGAACGAGGTAGTGGGCAATAGACAGGTAGGCACCTTGTTAACATGCACATCAAGCGTAGCCACACCGGAAATGTCAAACAACAGCGAATCACTTGAAATGATATTATCAAATAAAATGTATCTGTTAAAACATACGGATATGCCGACATAACTATTCGCTAAATTAGCATGTTGAATACGTTGGTTATCAACGAATCCGCAATAACTACACATTGTTCAGAAGTTACTCAAAGATAGCTACAAATACATTAAAGTTAGGGAAGATAACCACAATTTGCATAGGCAACTTGGCTACTTAACAGAAGATTATTCAGGTAGGCAGAACAAATCAAATAAAGTGGAGTGAAATTTATCCAGCTTAAAAAGACCTAGCTTAAGTGTAAGTTGGTTTAGCTCAGCTGCGGTGAAGAAGCATCACGACTGCAACGTCAGGCTCAGCATGGGACACACAGGTCTTAATACTGTGTTACACAAATGCGGTGTTTTGGAATCTATTCCAATGACTGGACTGGTAATCCGTAACGAGGCACAGAAATGATTGCACATGGATGAGCCTTCCGATTGCTTTGAATGGCAGTACCCCATTTCCATAGACTTGCTCCTAAAATGCTATCGCTATGTTAGCACCCTACTGCACAATGTTTTCCTTTCGTATGTACAATCTCTACCTCTGCAACGCTTTCCCTGACCAACCTACTGGAATAGTTATGCAGATGACATTTTCCCCATGCTCTCCGAACTTGTGGGACCTAACATCATTGTAGATGCACTGACACAGCATGGAGAAAGCCGAAGCACACAATGGCTCCGGAGCAACATGGCTTCCAACATAACAGCCATGTACTGCGAACTTGTTAGCTGCACACAATAGCTGGACCGAAGCAATTGATGTTAGAGCAGGAGTGGATGTCATCTTATTGGACTTCTCCAATGCTACTGTGCCCTTAGACTTCCGCATTCTCTTCAATAAATTTCCGATCAATGTCATTGGTGACCCACTATTGGGTTGGATTGGCAGTTTCCTACACGTACCTTGGCAGGAGGTGAGAGTACAAGAATCCCTGTCCGACGCAATTGCAGTGTAGTGCGGTGTAACACAAGCCCCTGTACTTGGGCCACGTCTATTCTTAGTTTTCATAAAGGATCCAGTGAGGTTAATTACTACCGATTCTCCATTCCTCGTTGATGATAGCAAGACATGTCGAGTGCTCAGTGAACCAGACGACCGCGAAACACTCCAATGGGACCACAACACGGTATCGAACCGATCAGTTAAATACACCCTACAATTCAATCTAGACAAGTGTCGTGCTGTTCAGTTACGTCAGAGACGTCACTACTGTCATCTATCTACAAAGGGTGTGGTCCCCAAGTGTTGAAAATATCATTACATTCCGATCTGATGGCAGAACATGTGATCAAAATGTAGCACAAAAAGTGTAAAATGCTGCCATCTGCAATACGTATAAAGGTGAAAGACACCGGGCCACAGATAGACAAAGGAACACTGAGCAGGCAACTTACCAATACACTTCAGTCACCATGTAGCTAAGAACCGTGGCAGTGCCAAAACAGGCCAGCAACTGAACGAGAACAGGATGGTCTGCCTATTGCTGGCACGGCGAACTCTTCACAACCATCTGAATCGACCCTAGCGCCTGCGCCCTACATAACATGACCGGCAGCCGACCTCGTAAATGTCGGCATACACCCTCACCGGAAATCAGCATCCACAAACAAGCTTCTCATCACCGATACCCTCACCTGCTTATATACCAAAGCACAAAATCCTCTCAGCAAGGTAAGTGAATTAATATTCTTCAAGACATTAAGAATTGCGGCCTTGTTATGATCACCGAAACATAGCTGAACACAGAGATCAATGCTGCTGCGATAGCTCTACCCGGCATGACTTCCCTACGAAGCGATCGACCTACCAGAGGAGGAGAAGTTTTCCTGTATTATCGATCGGGATTGCATGTTGATATCATTGACAACCCAGAAAAGTAAGTCATCGATCCTTCTTAGTGTCGCATTTACCTAAGACGTGGTGATGTGTGTTTACTAGCAATAGTTTACCGTCATCCAATGTTCACCTTGGAAATAGATCAGTACCTAGCTTTCGTGATGAAGCGAGTTATGGCACGACCATAGAGTCACGTACTTCTGGTGGGGACCTTATCCTTCACGCAATCGGAGTCCAAGCGTAGCACAGCGAACAATTCAGGGCTGACCTGCAAGAAGTGCTTGTCGATCTACTTCTGTACAACCATGTCACCACACCCACGCGATTACAAAAGGGTAACACAATCTCTGTTTTGAATTTTGTGCTCACCAACGAGGACCTAATGGTGGACACCGTGACTATAGATGCACCACTTGGCTGTAGTTATCACGCTAGCTTGCTCGTTCGTTACATCTGTTACTTGGAGTACATCAGTGAGAACAACGTGGAAACAGTACGATATACTGTCCAACCTCATTCAAGAAACCGACTGGTCCTTCCTGATCGAGCAGCCAACCGATGTAGCTAGGATGGTGTTTGTCACCCAATTCACCGAACTAGGGGCAAGTGCGTCAGAAAGCAAGGCTTTTCGCCCAAAGCAAATGAACTCATTCTTGAGGAGCCGTACCAGAAAATACATGGCCTTAAGGGATTCAGGCAGGTGCGCTTACATAGTCTGTAAATTAACCAGACCTGGGATGCTTACGCAATTTAAGAAAACCACTGCGTCAAGTTGATCCGCGAAGACAAACTGCAGCACCGAGAAGGTGGCGGCGAAGTTCAATACAGATCAAAATTTGCGGTATACACACGTCAACAAGCTCCGGAGAGTTCAGGGGGTGATCCTAGTTTTACGCGCAACAGATGGCCTGCCGCAAACTTTACAAGGTGCGGCCAAAGTGCTTCGTCACCACTTCCACACTTTCTAGTGTGAAGCATAATCTCACCCGCTTTTGACACAGCTCCCATTATCAGCAGAGTTAAGGCAAGTATCTCGCACGGCAGCCAATGTGATGAAAAGACCAATGTCATTGCGCGTGCACAGCTCACCTGGCGTGTATGACATTAAACCGAAGGCATTGAAAGCGACAATGAACCTTGTCGAACCATTAGCTCTTTACTTTCAACGTCGTCCTGATGAAATGGAAGCTTTAAAATGTGGATACATGGACTAGTCATTCGTATTTACAAAAGTGGTAAGCGTGCGCAGCAATCGAACTACCGTCCAATCACACTCCTTCCAGTGTCATCTAAAGTAATGGAAAGTATAATCGCAGAAAAGCTCATGGGATGCCTTAAGAGTGACAATTACTATTTTCACAGCAGCACGGATTCCGCCGAAACCCGAGTTGCACTACAAACTTGTTTCTAATTCGAGAAATCTGGAGAGAATCAGCCAATGGAAGAGTGGAAGCCCACGCCGGCTATCTGCAAGTCTTCAAAGCGTTCGATCGGTTGGACCACCGCATTCTCCTTCACAAGCTTTGAAGCTATGGAATAGGTAACCCTGTGCTTGGTTGGATCGGCAACTTCCTCACTCAACATCAGCTGAATGTGAGAGTCCGCAGCTCCATTTCCATCCCAATTGACGTCTAGTGTGGTGTGCCCCAAGGATCGGTACTGCGGCCACGTTTGTTTTTAGTATGCATTAAGGAGCTTGCAGGTGTACCGTTGTCGAATTTCTTACTATTTGCAGATGATGTCAAAATCTGTCATAGTATCAAGGACGCGGATGATCACATGGCATTGCGGAGCGATCTCGACAGGGCTTATACGTGGTTATCCGATTACTTGATCCAGTTCAACGTGGCGAAGTGCAATGTCACCGGCATACGCCATCAGCTTGCCCATGAATATCGACTTGGAGACCAGCAGTTGGAATTTGCTTCCCAGAAAAGAGATGTCATTGGGATTGTGCAGGACGATCTTGGCTGCTTGAGACAGACTGAACAGGATCAAATAGAGGAAGTCAACATATTGCACTCTTACGGAGCGCTTTCGGAAATTTGGAGCAATAAATCTTTCCGCAAATGATGAACGCCCACGTGAGGCCCCACGTAGAATATGCCATCCAGGCCTGGCGTCCCTGTCGCAATCGCGACGTCTATGCACTTGAAGTTCTGCAACGTAGAGCAACCAAACTCATTAGAGGATCGTTTCATTTGTCCTGCCAGCGCAGATTTCATTCCGTGAGATTGTACAGTGGCAAATATCGGAGTCATCGAGGAGACCACATCATAGTTTAGTTAGTACTGACGAACCCAATTCACCCATGTCGCAATCTGTTGTAGCTGAGCCAAAATATCAACCTGTGGGGTCATCAGCTCTAACTGGATGCGCACTACAGTCAACCTGATTGTCGACGATACCTTTTCTCCCTCCGTGTATCCCATGCTTGGAATGTCCTTCCGACTCACGTCGTCTTTGCGTCTACATTAACGCTTTTCAAAGATCGCTTTGATGACACGCTTTCCAACCTGCATTACTTAATGTAGCCCGTTTCACACGGAGGACGAAATAACGCAAACCAAACCATGTGCTTAACGGCCCTGTCCTCAACGTGTTTGTGAGGATACATGCATAAGTGTTTTTGTGAGTAGCATGGAACCACGTGAGTAGCATGGATCAACGTATCACATCGGTCAAACGAAGCAACACACGTAGAAGCGTTGTCATTTCATTTTTTATTTCTCAGAGAGTTACTGAACTTATAACTGCTCTCTAGACTATTTCGTGTAAGTACATCCAATTCCCATATCAAACTATCGTTATGCGGTAGTGCATTTAAATCGGTAGGTGATTAAAAAGACTATTTATTTATTGTTTGGTCCTTTCAGATTTGATTTTCACCCCCGTGATAAATCATTGTTCATTGTTCATTGGCTTACACGTATTACAAAGTGCTTCCCAGAAACGCGACCTTACTGGGCTCATTCTGAGTGACCATTAGTGTACAAAACAGTCTGAGGTAGGTGCGCAAAGAGGAAACCAGCACGTCGGCCTACTACTGAGTGCATTGGGGAGATTTTGTCCATCAGTCTTCGTAATGGTGCACAATTCTTACATGCACTCTCATGTATACTTGGCAATCTTCGCCGAAGCCCGACCTAGAGGTTCTAGAGACACCACAACGCAAGGAAACAAAGTATGTCAAAGGTCTACGCAATCTGTCTTGATAGCAAAGGCTTAAGTTGCTGGGAAATTTCCTCGGACGGTATTCAAAGCTAAGCTTTGATCTCATATTTGTGTGCCAAATATTCGCTGACCTAAGGGAAGTATGCCGTCACTTGCTGAAACACAGTCATAACACAAAACTCAGAGCTAACTGCTTGAAACTGAGTGAACAATAGAGCTATCTAGCGTGTTGACGATATCACCTTTGTTTTCTTGTTTACTAGCGCTGCAACTCTCTCGTAAACTCCATTGTTTCTTCCCCCACCTTGAATATTTTCAGAAAAAACGACTGCACTGTACTCTTAGCCCTCATCACTTCGTTACCTAAACTGCGCTATTGTGGATTACATGAATCATGCCCTCCTACCGGATTTACCTGGTATGTAGTACATGATTGAGTAGTCTAGTTTTTATTTTTCTCACGGAATACTTCAGCTATAACTGCTCCTCCATGTTGTCTCGTACGTTTTCACCTAATTCTCATTTTATACTGCCATTATTCGGCAACGCATTTGCTTCATAGACACTTTAACAGCCGACTTAGGTATTTTGTGATATTTTGATTATCACCCCAACCACCCTATGGAAGCTGTCAAGCGCCTGCTTTCTCCCCGTGATAAGTCATTCCTCCTTGTCACAAAGCATCGTTCCTTTACACAAATCAACGGCCTAATCCCATTGCATTTCATGGTGACAATACTTTAGTGGATAGCAAAAGAAGTCTGCGCCTCTGGTTGAGCTACACACTGAACTCAATCACGTTGCACATAATACGTTAAAATCCGTTTTCAACAGTACAATTTATCAACCAGGTACAGTGAAACTACGACGGAGAGACCAGGCGATGGAAATGTCAATCCTAGTACCGGCGTGTGCATACGTTTACTAAACTTGTAGGCTCACGGAGTACTTTCCATCTCATTCCACATGCCAGTGAGAGCAGGCCACATCATCCGACTGTAATAAGCATTCTTACTTATAAATGTGCTCCGGTCTTAACGCGGAATGACAAGCTAGTGGCAGACGACCACTCGGCGTACACACCGTTATTTGTGTTCGGCGGCAGTTGTTTTCGTCAAACAAAAACTATCAGGTGACAACGAACTAAGACGACTGTAGCTGTGTTTTTCAACACTTATACCCGTTTTTCTGAAGGTCAACTCATTCGACCGTGTTAACTGACATAACTATGCTCTTCATAGTCATATTTCCTAAAAGTACCCGGAAATGTGTACCCCACGCGTCGAAGGATAAATGCGATGCAACCCACTTAGTTAACCACTTCCTTAAACAATGCATTCAGATGAGGTTCTATGCTCTTACTAATTGTATTCATTATTAGATTATCGATCGAAGCTTCAGCCTGATTGGTCAAGCCATGCGCAAGCAATATGATAGAAGCGCCTGGTACTTTTATGGCGGATGCTCCGCAAATTGGAGGTGCACCGGCGCGTCGCCTGTATGCAATGGACTTCTCGCCCCTGTCGGTCATATTACTGAGTACGCTGGTTGTCAGTTCAATCCTCACTGCCGTCGGATTGAGTCAGAACCGAATATCGCTAGGTAAGCCTGATGAATGCTATCCACCGTTAAAACTTTGTTCTCGTGTAAAAATAAGCAAGTATTCATTTAGATCGTTAGATTTGACCACTGACTGCGCCCACGAATGGTACAGGTCCACAAGTCATACTTCAGTATATATCGATGATAAGATGCTTAGTTTCCACTGCCGCTCATGCAGGTTGAGTTCAGTTGCATTCTGCTGTTGGCTTATATTACTGCAGACCGAATGGCACGCTACAGCGGATGCACGTGCGAGTGTTAATAAGGGTGGAGCGAAATATACACTTTATAATGCAACTGAAACTGTACATACAAGCTTAATTGGGGAGAAGTACGCGTTGAACGTTCAGCGAAAATCGAGTTGAGCAGTTGAGGGCTAACTCCCTACATCGGAATTGCGCTAGGCAACGAACTAAACCCGGCTGCTGACTACACCGACTCCGCCACAGAATTTACTTCAAAGGAAAGTCAATCCGATGAAGCGCGATTTGGACCAGATGCTTGGCGTTTCGGGATGCATTTTTCGATTCTCAAATTCCACACCACCGTCGTGTTGTTCACGTATTCACGTGAACTAGCTTTTATCGGTGTCGTAAAATACACCTGTCCGTCTTACTCTCCGTGAACTGGAATTTACATATCCTAACACTGTACCTGATTACTGCGCGAAACGTTTGAAGCAGAGAAATTCCAGGTGTAGCTCCTGTTTTCAAAGTAGCTGGCAGGAGCGTTCTACCCTGGAAAGTGTAGGGTCCTGTATAAGTCGAATGTTTATTAATTAAGTTGACTAACCTGTTCACTTACCTCCAAACTAGACCTTTGCAATCTACGCATCCTGTCGGTGCCCATCAGTGCAGTCAAGAAGTTCTCAAATTTCTCTTGTTTTTCAGTTGTATTATGTTGTTGCCATTTCCTCAGTCAAATTCGATTCTGGAGTTTTGTACTTGATACGCGGGGCGGCATATCCCGATATGTTGCGTGCACAACCTAACGTGCGACGGCCCTGATTGTAGTTTTCGTTGGAAAGAGCTTAGCAATGCTTCGTCTCAGGTGCATGCCAAACGTCAACGCCGAGGTTTTCCAACGACAGTGGCAAGTTATTTTCTTGCATTACACGTTAAGTGACTTATGTTCTCGGCGGACGGCACCAAAGGCTTCGCGATGATCTCATGATGGTGTGCCCCTCTTAGGTGGACCCCGCTCACATCTACCGTGCCTTGCTGAAGCTCAGCTATAAGACCAAACCCAGAGATAACTATCTGAAACTGAGCGGCTGGCCACGTAACTAAGTAGAATGTAGTTAAAATGACCTTTCTCTTTGACTGATCAAAAGCTCTTCTAACCGAACATAAGCCATCGATATTTCTTCATCAGGCCTCACAGTTATTTGACCATCAAGTTTGTGGACATACCCAACTAGCCAAGCGTCAGTTGCTTCTGGCACACGATGACAAGCACCGTCAGGCAGATCATCGCTATAACCTTCACACGCACTAACGTGTGAATGCTGACTTCGTCCTGTTCAGGGTGGACTCAAGGATGAGTGAACCACTTCTCTTTGAGTCTGTCCAGCATAAAACGCCCCAGACAGGACAGGACAAGGTCCAGGGATGAAAAAAGCTTTCGGTTAACGAGCATCCAGTTTCATGTCTAAGTAACCGACTTGCTAGTTGGTTCTTGTACAAACTACTAGCACGTGGTTAGAAGCTTTAATGAACTCTCACGTGGAATAGGACCAACCAATTCTTGTCCAGGCATCCCTTAAAGTCCTTTACCGTATTACACGCAATACCGCAGAGGGAAGTTTATTCCAATTAGGCACAGCCGGATTTGGGAGGAACTTAACTTGAGCCTAGATCTTTGATGTTTTAATTTCAGCTTGTGGTTTGATGTAGTTATTTCAAAGAGAGTAGTGGGTCTGAGACCACTGAGACCCCCTCATATTAAGTCCCCTCTTAATATACGTCTCCCCATTCAAAACAATCCTAAGTTAGCTGATCGATTTTATCCGGAAACAAGCGCCGGCTTTCTATAATTCGAGTGGCATGTTTCTGCACTTTCGCCATACAAACGATATTGTTCTGCAGGGATGAAGTTCAGCTCTGAACACGGCAGTACAAATGTGAGTTGACCACTAATTTATACAAGAAGAGAAAGACCGCTAGCTTGATGACACTCAGAGACCTGAGTCGAAATAACCCCTGTCGTGCTATGTTAGTAATATGTTTACATTGGACCGACGGCCTAAAGTTATTTGTCATGACAATGCCATGATCTCCTGCTTCGTTGCACGTTGCGGTCTCAGGGACCAAACAGGTGCATGCGATAGAACATCTTACGCCCTCGGAGTCAAGATTTGGCATTTGTTGGTGTCCAGAATCAAATTCCATGACAGTAAGCATTTCCTAACCGTAGCCAAATCTTTAGATAACGTAGCCCTATCCCCACTCTTGTCACTCTCTTAAACTCAATAGTTTCCTCCGCCAATTTGGTCGTGTTTAAACAACCAACTAGAAATTGCGGCAAACTTTCTGAATTCCGCTACACAAGCTGTGATGCTTTGTTTTCTCTTTTCATCTTACTAGTAATGAAAGTAGTATTACAGTGATACACTGAAAGTAGTGCAGACGTGAGTGTATTCATTTTCAAACCCGGATATAATTTCTCGCCAGGGTTTTTTGCGCCAACCTTTAGTTCCCAGTTTCCTGCTATTGCACGCAGAGGTGAAGTTAAAGTAACCAACTTTCGTCCTAACAGCGTCGTTTCAATGTTTCCGCGGCAGGCGAGTAAACGTATGACGTGTGTGAATATGTATTTCTTACCTTAGCATTGTTCGATGTTACGATCACTGTAAGTTATTAGGTTATTTACTAATGACCTAATGCAGGTCCGCGGACGTCATCCATGGCTTAGTGGCACAACCTGCTGACAGCAGGAACTCATGGGGTCAGAACCCGACTGGGGTCGGTCCGTGGAGGGCGCACCACTGATGGGGACCCATAAGGTCAAACCAGTGGTGTCTGGTGGTTTTCCTGATATTGGGTCCTGTGTTATTAGCTGGAGGGACTGATCTTATTCTACACCGCGTCCTACCAATATGCGGCGCGAAAAGGTAAAAATTTGTACTGGATGAAAATATAATGTACCATATTATTTACGTGTAAACTACGCGTATCATGGAATGAAAAGTGGGTCCAACTTTGTTGAAGATATTGCAGTGTGACATAAGGTTCGCTATGTCTAAGACAAGGACCCATAATTTGCTGTGTGGGTGCGAGAAATCTCGCATTTGCTTTGGAATCAAATGGTAAAGGATTTTCCTATGAGCAAACAATTGCAAGTTGTGTTTACGGTTGCGTTTGAACTAATGAGCAAATGTGATGCTTTCCGATAATATTTTTGTAGAAATTACGGCCGACGAAAAGAATATCAAACCATTACATTCGGAACCCCAGAAAACCTCTATACAAACAAAATCTAGTGATCCTAATAACCAGAAAATTATTACAGAAAGCTGCAGGGTACATTCCAAGCATCTCTCACAAAGGTTCACACACCAAAGACTTCAAAAATAGAGATTTCTTATCGTCTATTTAGCTTGCAGATTGGGGTCATAACACCGCTGATAGTTGATGCTTGTAACACTGCGCTTTACAACCGATTATTTAGCGGGTTTTCGCTGATCAGATGGGGACATCAGAGGTGTGATTTGGTCCTGTGAGTCATAGAATGTTTGATGACCCCTTTACTCTTACGCCACAGAGTCACGGACAACGCTGGCCTCAGCCACAATTTCAACAGAAGACAACACACACGTCTATGTTGTGTATACCCTGTTCCAATGAGAGACCTAGTTTAAATTCCCTTCAAACTAACTCGTGGTACGAATGCGGGTCGCGATACCTCCGCATCATAGACACTTTAAAAATGTACCAGTAGGTCAACACTGTTCTGTTTCCAGAAACGTCACTAGTGTTGTCGGTCACGGGAGAGCATTGAGCCCATTGCGTTTCCTCAGTTAGATAAACATAAACAGATTCTGCGGATGACGCATACAAAATATTCACGAAGACCTATCATACCTCTAAACAAATAGAGCGAAAACGGTTTCACGAGGCCTTTTGCAAACCAATCTCACGTAATCTGCCACAGATGCAGTAAACCAGACGGATCCATCTTTCCTAATGGTACCCCCTATCCCAACTGCGAACTCCGAAACTTGGGAATACGAAACACTGGCAGCTTCAAATTCTTCAAATATATCGCACAAACGGTAGCGAAAGCAAAACGAATTCAAATTATATCACTAGGTCACTTTCGCTATTCCAAGCACTCTATTCATTCAAACTTATAATGCGACCCACTCTAGAGTACTGCACCTTACTATACAGAGCCACCTAAACAAATCGATCATGAAATACTCATGAACACTTATTTACGAAGAAGGATGTTCTTCAGCTTGACACACTCAGGGTTCGACGATTGAAAAGTAACCTCACTTCTCAACAACATTATATATTCAAGAGTCTTCTTAATCCGTACGGTTGTCACATTACAAAATGACTCGGCCCATCCCACTGGTAATGGGAACTACCTATTGTTCTCACAGAAAACCAAGCAACATATTAACTTTCTTTCTGGTGAGGTACGCCCATCTGTCGTTGCAACTAAAGACTTCCAAAGAATGGTTTCCATGCCAAATATTATCATACTTTTCGACCTGCGGCAGCCTAGGTGCGCACTCAAATAATCTGACCCGAAAGACATATGACAGAACTAATTGTACAGTAGGGTTACCTATTACGTTTTTAACAAAATGTTGTATCACTGATCCATAGTGAATGTACGCTCTTAAATGAAACGCTGATGAAACTCGTACAAAAGATCGTTCCGCAAAACGTGGCGTTTCTCGCCCGTCGAGAGATATACCCATTTATTTATCTAGTCATTCAATTTCAATAGTGACGAAACAAATCTGTTCAGTCAGCCGCGCTCAGCATATGTGTTGAAAGAATCGGCGTTGGTCTGACATGATGTGTGGATACACCATGCCATTCGTCGCCCGAAACAGAAATGTCATGCGATAATGTTAGTCCTTTTCTTAAAATGACTCAATAACTGCCATACTTTGTGCCACAAGCCACACTACTTTCGTTAAGGTCACATGCCGTAACTAGTCACCTAGTGCGAAGCACATTGTAAGGCGGAACAAGTTTACCTGTTTGACTTGGTCAAGAGGAATGGAGACCCTCGCCTCTAATTTGACCTCGGTTGGTGTCTCCCGACTGCCGGGCCGAGGTCCTAAGGACAGTGAAGACGTTTGATTGGATATACTCGCTGACATGCTGAAGAAGAGCTGGCCTCAGTGACGTTTTTATTTTAATTTCTCCTTCCGTCACGAGCCTAGCTTCCCTCTGTAGTCACGATTCCCCACTCTACTTATGGCGTGGCAATTAGCAGTATATTTTCATATTCTGAAATGTTTAGCATCACGCTGATTTTAGATATCTCTTTGTATTGCGGCACAATAGTCGAAGGCTATTTCTCACTCTCAGCTAGCCTGCAAAAATCGATTGTTATCATTGCATTACTAAGAGTAAAATATTATTTACAAGCACCAATGGCTGCATGCTAGTGACATAATCTAATCCAGACTGTACGCGCGGACAGCGGTCGATCAACAATCGGTGAACGTAAATCAGGCGCCCGACGTGGCGTATGCCGTGCAGCTGAGCGGAGTTCACACAAACGAATCAGACGAGAAACTAGACAATGAGTAATCCATGATCATTCAGGCGTGTCGGCAGCGTTCACATCAGATCAGTCACTGAAGATGCTGCTTGACGCAAGATGCTATTGATCAGCTGGTCCCTAACATATGTTAAAACAGTGCGGTAACATTAATACAAGATGGCAAAGTAAGCACATAATGGGTTCAATGCGGAATTATTCAGCAAGCAAGCCCAAATCAGACTACGTGTGTGAGCAGGCCGCCGGCATCTTCGATCGTCAGACACTTGATCATGCCTGATTTGGTGTGTCTCTACAAATTTGAGAATAAACTACTTATTTATTTATTTATTGACATCAGGTCACCGAATTGAGGTCAACAAGGCGTTTATGATCCTGCTTCGCCATACCCATTCCCGGATCCTCCGGTTTGCCGAGGCTATTGCCCTTAATCGGATTAAGCCAGTGCTTTGGGTGCAAAAACCATTCTCGGTCAGCCTTAGGCTGCCCTGGTCGTAGAAGAAAGACACCCGCTTTTTACAGAGGAGTAGGAGTAGGGGCGTTAAATGGGATAGGTAGAAATTCATTTTTTTGTATGTATGTCTGTACCCAAAAACTGTTGGATAAAAGTACCGCTTATAGTTATCCGCACTGATGAGACGTTACGAAAAGCATGCATCTGCCAAACTTCATCTTCTAATTGTGCTTTTCAAGTTACTAAGGGGAACTAACTTTTTTTCCAAAGCACATAACTGTCTTCATATGGAGTTCGAATCTGGTGAGAATTACCGAAAAGAATTCTTTACTTAGAATCTACCTTTGATTCATATTATTAATAGAGAAATTTTGGAATATTGAAGATTAGCATCCCACGTGACTTAGTCAAGTAGACTGTATTACTGAATTACTTATAATATCGAAGGATTGAAAAGGAAGCCGTGACGCCAAACGGATAAACTGATAGGAGGAACGATTTCCAACAAAGATATCTTCACTGCTTGAAAGCGATGACTTATATGTAGCAATAACGGTGCACTTTCTGGTTAGTTACGGCAACAATTTAAAAATGTAATAAATTGCTCCGATCGCCCTAGTGTTTTTTATATCGACTGCACGAATTTGTGCGTACAGCTAGGTCCGTTTTCATAAACTTATCTGCGTTTTACATACAGTTACTCAGGATTTGACTTCTGGGTACAAGTATGGGTGTCTTCGGCTGATCAGATCGAGCTGAACACTTTGCTTTTTATATGTTGTTCCAAGGACCTAACCCATCCGCCTGATGGTAAATGCCTAACCCTTACATGCAACATTATGTGCAGTACGTCTACTCGAAGCAAGATCTCGTCGCGCTCGAGACTGCATAACATGCAGCCAGAAGTCCCTTTAATAGAAAACATTCCATGTTTTAGATCAACTAACGTTAAGCATGCTACTACTTTGTGGCGATCAGTGTTGACACCTACGACTCGACCATACAATAGCTTGCCAGATCCTCGGAGGCCCCTAAATCGTCCATCACCATCTTGCGTAAATCACTGGTAACATGAACCTCGGGTTTCACCAGCTTAAGTAAGCAGCGCAACATAACCATCTGGGATAGCACCGGATCGTGTGTTCCCACCATGGAACGTCCTGCTTAATGACCTCGTTTCTGTTTACATATCATCTTCCCTCAAGAAAAGTTGTAGCGCTGCCATAACCAAGTGCATTTTACGCAATGCGGTCCGTGTATATCGGCATACGATATGCCGTGCCAAAAGCGTGTCCGCTAGCATTGTGTTACATGCCCAATAGTTAACACTTTACTTTGTGTAGTTACTGGATTTTATAGACCGAACATCTGCACTCTGTAATTCTAATGTTCTGATAAGTGGTAAACGGTAAGTATATATATATATATATATTTGCAAAAGTCTGTTAACAGACAAAATACCATCAGAAACCACGGGATTCAAACGAAGGTACAGAAACAGTAAAATAAAACACAACACAACAATGTCCATGGTTTCCTCAGAGGGCGAGATACTACCCGGTTGCCCAAGCCGAAGTAGGGTGTTGACTTAGGGGACACCACCCCGAGTCTTTGGCTGAATAGCCTGTCCGCAAGGCAGCGGAGCGAATTCAGGGAATCGCGCCCATTGGGAGCCGGTGACTGATTGCTCAGTTCATACGCCTTTCGTTTGTTCCTTTGTCAAACAGGGGCCCAATGCTCCCCAGAAGTACAGCATAAACTTGCTGGAATACAATGCTTCGCCAAGATGAAGCAAGGGGCAGTGACTTTATTTAGTGGCGAGTCACGTCCGCCACGTCACAGTGTTGTTAAACGGACATGTGTGGCTTCTTATAGGGAGAACGCTTGCCAGGCGAAAACCCACCACGTCCTGGAACACTGCCGCCTAACCATTTGCTGGAACGGGAAAATCCCGAACCACCCAGCTGGCACCACGAGAAGGTTGTTCGGTAAGTAAATGACAGAGCACGACAGTCAGTAAGAAAATGATGGATATCGCCAAGTCACCACAAGATGACGGAAATGCTCAAAACTTAAATTTGCTGGAGCACCGTTTAATCCCTTTGAATGAGCTTGCTACTGTAGATAAGTCTTATGCGTTTGTCTCAGCTTTGAAAACCTTTTAACCAGAGCAAATGGTTCATTCACTTCTATAGGTTCTCTGGTTTATCCCAGGAGTTTTTTGCTACTGGATAATAAGTTTCAATCAATAGAAACTCCACTGTGTCTATCGAGCTTTACTTCATTGTATCACGCTGGACACACAACTTAAACTTAACATACAGTTTGGTTGGACATGTCTACAACCTCGATCATCACAGCTGAAGTGAATTTAGCTTTGTCATAGACCGCATTGTAGCTGTTTCACTGGAATGCAGCTAGATGAATTTCAACTGCAATTTAATCCCTTCGCTACTTAGCTCAACGAGAGAATTTTACAGTATGTTACAGTACTAAACTGGATCCTCCGCTTTGTCTCTAACAATACTTCTTCTACTACCTTCCGATTACAGCAACCGTGCCGAAAACGCAACTTGATGTGTCGCTAGCGTTTGCCGCCTTGGGACTGATTTTTGCTGTTACATCGATTGTCATTCAACTTTTCTGCAGTCTCACACGATTTGGAAGACTTATACTTTTACACATCCTCTTACTGACATTTGTCTGCCTGTCCGGTAAGTCTCTCCTTGCACCAATCCGATCATTTTGTCATATGTTGAGTGGCGTAGATAAGAATTCATCACATTCGCTAGTGAGCGGCACTATATCACATCTAGTAATTTAGTCACGTTGGTCGTTGTCATGCTAAATCCTCACCACGGAATGGTAAGAGTTTAGTTGCCTGTTCGTGTAACACAGCGCTGCTGAAGATTCACGAAATGATTGAACGACCATTCGGTGCTTTTCCGTGCCTGTGATAGCTGACTGGCCGAGTTTGGATGCGATGGATTGCCACCAGTACCATCCAACTTCACCTACTGCTCCCTTGTATACTGGAATGATATCTGAAGAGTTGCCTTGTAGTCTGGTTGTCCAGTGTACTGCAAACTCATATGTCTTGGTATTTTTGAGCATCTCCAGCAGTGAACCGTGCTCAGTAGATATAACTGTTCACTGGTGAAGGAATAATTCACGATCTTGAGTTCCTGCCGATAGGCAGTTTCTATTTTTCGCTTTATTTACTGCCAAGGATCTCAGTTTGATACCCACGTCTGTATCCTAAGTCAGTATAACGATTTATCCAGTAGACGGAAATTCCACAAAGATAGTCAAGTTGAGATTATATTATGAACACAGATTAGCACGTATCGCTTTTCGTGTTGAGCGAGTTAGAATGCCGTTTACATTCTGAGTCTAGCTTTCTCTGTGGACTGTCGTGATTAGACGGAAAAGCTGGTTCTTGACGTGTTCTACAAATGGAGAATTAACCAAGAACCCCAGAACCACAGGTACTCAAGTGAAGTCCAGATCGTCCGCTTTAGAAGTAAACCAGCAAGTGCATTTTAATAGCTTTTTTAACGTTACTACGTGTTATGGCTGCGAAGTACTAAGAGTATTAAGAAGTGACTCTTAGCATACTTTTGTGAGAAATCCACCCCACTTGATCAGAGCTGATACTGTCTGTGGCCGTTAATACCTGTCCATTCACACTGGTTAACGTACAAAGGAATTGATACGAGCCTATAGTCGAGTCCGAAAATGCTTAATTCCTATGTTTACATTCACTTACATAATCCCGTCGGGCGTGTGGAGCTAAGTCGCAATCCAATTCCCTTTCTTATGTAAATCCCTTGAAACTATTCTGTTTACAGTACCGACAAAGATGAACTGGATGGATGTCATTCCCATCATAGTTATAAATGTCTGGTTATATAAAACGGTTCAAATTAACTGTATAGTTCATACTTAATGAATTCTGTGCAGAAAAACGTAAGTGCAGTTGCCATGGGATTTCCGCCTGTTCATGGTGAATTGCTGTTATATGCACACATACATTGTGCATGAGCATTCCACCTTTAGAGACTTACATGAGTTACACTAATTATATCACGAGCACTTGCCATTTTATGGCTTACACCTAGAGGTTTATAGCTCCTCCGTTGAAGGAGTACCATTTTAGTAGGTGTCCATCCGGTCTAAATGCTCAAAGTAAACTGGTTTGGTGCCATATGCCCCATTTGCCATGGCCAAGTTCAAAGTCAGTCGTTCCAAGTTAACCTTATTATTTAACACTGGCACAAAGAAACAATGGAACAATGGTTTTATACGGGTAATAAAGCTAATGCTTAACAGCTCCCGTAGGACGATTATGATGAAACCTCAAACTACAAAAAATGGTTAGCAAAATTTGCGTTCACACCAGTGTATTCACTGATAAATAGACTCGTTCTGAAATGGTCTGGTCGTTTCGTACGTTCACCCAATTCTAAAATAAGCAGTTAACACTAACTTGGTCAAGGTCAAATCTCAAGCGTCATTTTAATTGTTAGTATCATGAGTCTTGGCAAGTGGGCCAACAGCGGCTCTTAACTTCGCCCATTACTTCGTGTAGTTAATGTTTGTGCTGTTCTATTCAGCTACGAGAGTGGAGGACCCTGAAGAAACAGATGTCAGCGGTACTTAGTCAATAGATAAAAATAAAAAACCTTAACGATTTAATTGCATTCTACAACCAATACAAATGGAAGTTCCTTAATGTCCCAACACTAATTCACACAGCCATCTAACCTTTTACGGCTGCGTGAAACGCTCTGGATCCCGGTTGTTTCCATTTGACCTATTGACCTGGGTTGAACGTGGCTACTTGCAAACTAGTGCAGATCGAGTACACTTGAAATGATCATAGCACTTTTTACAACTTGCTACTTATCCGCTGTCCGATGTCTCTGACGAAAGCATTCTGTACCACGCTTCCCTACGACGAAAATATAGTAAGGTATTACGAGTGATAAAGGAAATTTCCTTTGAGCTCGCTCGCAAATTTATACATTCAACTTGGGATGTAACTTAATTTGAGAGACTACCATCTCAAATTGGCAAAGCAGTACAGCCACTTGGAATGCCGTCGGAATTCCTTTTCCGTACGGGTTTGCCGTAAGTGGAATACCCTACCGGAACCTGTCATAAGTGCTCACACGCTGGCAGCATACAAAACCCGAGTTCATGGTGCACTTATTTCGCTGCACCATCTTACATGACCCATTACCCATGAATAAACACATGTGTCTATAAGCACTTTCACTGGCTGTGAAATCCCGGATTTCGTTCCACTTTTTTCAACAACTGTATGTGTACCCCAGTAGGAGACACCATTTTTAGCAACATCCCATATGCCGTCATTTCTTATAGATTTACCTTGGATTTACACTCTATACTAAGTATACATTAGTGAGTTTACTGGCGTACACCCAATATTGTTAGGAATTGTTTTATATTTTGAAGTTCCCCCACAAACAGCTTACGAGACTTGTTAAGCACTAGCTTTATTACCAGTATAAAACTATTTTTCCAGTGTTGCTTTGCGCCAGTGTTAAATAATAAGGTTAACTTAGAACGACTGGCTTTGAACTTCGTCGTGGCACATGGGTCATCTGCCATCAAACCAGTTTCTTTCAATCATTTAAACCGGCGACATTGCATTTGTTTGTGGGTCCACACCACATGCGGGGCTCAGTTCCACCAGAACCAAGGCCACCCGGTTGGTAACTGGTAAAGGCAAGCGCAATCAGCCGGTTACACCGCTCAGCCTAAAACTAAAGTGTATAAATTAGGTGTGATCATGGCTACTTCACAATGTCTGTGCCAGAAAGGTGCGGTCTCGTTCTCTTTGCTCTTGTGCCTCACTCGGATTGACGCCCACGATTCTTGCTGTACAAACATGTGCCTAGACGTATTACAGCCAGCATATCTAGCGTCGTTTCGGGCACTTTATTCTCTGGATCGAATTTGTGTGCATCACCTTTTACCTTCACTTCGCACTTTTGGCATCATACCAGCAGAAACACGCGTGCCGTTTTCCAAATCCCCAAATGCACGATAGCATCTGGTTTCAAACGAAGGCCAAATCTGCGACCTACACAACGAGTCATCAGCCAAACCGTCGACTGCTAAGTGAAGAAGCCGCCGAAAAGTTTGTGCTCAGCATTGCTCATTCTTGTTGCTTACACCTCGGAGCGACTACTGAGCAAGTCACAGTCGTATAACCTGCTCCGCAAAGCGCTGTGGCACGTCGCGTCCTGCTATGGACTTACTGACACCCGACTTTTCCAATTCCGCGTTCATAAGACAATCAGCGACGCTTGCCTATTTTACTTTCAGTCACGCGCGCAGCCACTGACTTGGTAGGCATCGACAAACAAGCACACGGTAATGAACTGAGTTGTTGCGATCATACAAAATGAGCCAAGCCTAACCTTGCCAAGATGAAAAGCTACGTGGTCTTACTTTGTGTTAGAAAATGTATGGATGTTAATCCAGTGTTCTAATTGCCATAGCAATTGTTGTTCTAGGTGTGTTAAGCTCACATAGTACGAGTCGAGATTGTTTATCAGCAGAACGAATCCTATGGGGTCCTGTGACGTACACATGGTCATCCTAGTAGTCAAAACTGTCCGTGTACTATCTCAGAAATACTGTGGGCTTCTGGCTGCAAGTAAGTAAATGAGGAACTTCAAAATTGATTCACTAGGAAAATATGAAACAGCAGAACCCAGTCCTCCTCAATGGGCCCTGCTTTTGGCATAACGAAGGTGGAAGGAAGGTCAGTCAGGTAAAATGCATCAACAGTAGTATTGAAGGTCAATCAGCGTGTCGATAACATCAGTGGTTCAAATACGTCAGATGCAACCACCTACCCTCCCATTGGCAAAGGTACGACCAGATCCGTTTCCACACTCCATACTGTTCCGAAATATCCCAATGACGTTGATATGATTGTTGGCTGGAATGTGGCTGCTACCAATGTCACGCCGAAATGCTGGATCTTCAGTTACACTTATCTTGTCAAAATCACTAATTTAGAAGAACATGTACATACACAACCCCCACCGGCTGTATGCAGACTATCAGGGTAGTGAATCATTAACCCAAGCCTCTTAAACGGTTAGTAAGAGACCACCGTGTGTACCATCAGGGTCTGCACCAACATTCCAAAATCAAAACAAAGTTTCAAAAGGAATGTAATTGGCAACCTAAGCCAGAGAAAGTTTATGTGTGAAATCTTAGGTGTAGCTAAGTTTGTCAGTTAGATGTAGGTCACTCGTCTACTAAACTCAAAGCACCATGGTAAAATGAGACTACTTCGGGTTGTACTGACTTGTGCCAGTAAAGCCGAAGTTGTTCTGCCATTAACAGTTTGTCTCCGGAATAGGCTTTGCTCCGGATCTTACTTGATCTTTCGTATTATGATGCTATACATGCGGAACACGGCTTAGAAGAATTCCGCAACCAAAGCCACCGTTGTTCACGGTGTCCCCGAGGTTGTAGGATGTGATGAGCGAGAAACGGCCACCGAAGACCAGCAGCAGTGTCGGTGCCTCTACGAAAACCTTGGAGAATATCGTAACTCAGTCGACCTTGGAGCTATTTAGATCGCCAGGTTACAAAGTATGAAGCGCGAGGATTGTAAAGGCCGTTTTTCAATCCGGACAGATGTCAATAAGTGTATTGGA